TTTTACCAACGAATAGTGGGATTGATCGTCACATTATAACGCCTCCACAGCTGAAAGGGCGAACATGTTTGGTGTGACGGGGATTCGAAGCCGCGACCCGCAGATTGTGAGCCGAGTGCCCTAACCACCTGGCCATGCCGGGCCATAATTCTAAGAATTTGCTTGTTTTTGTCTGATACGCTTTCGTGAATAACTGGAGTTTTTAAAACAGCTATTACATTTATGAATCTCATATATTACTCTCTGTAACATTTAGGTGGTTAATCACGAAAAGTGTAAATTATTTATTGTATCACAATGACGTGTTAATTCTTGTTAATTTATTTCAGTATTTAACTTTTTTGCAGTAGTTCATAGAAATGCGCTCATATTTAGTGTGAATATAAAATTGGAATAGTAAAATACGTATAAAACTACGTTATTTTGGACTAGATTCAATAAAATGAAAAATGTAAGCTACTACTATTTTTTTACAATTTTCATCTGGTTACACAGTGAAACATATAGATTCAGCCTTCCTGACGAATTGTGATGTTGAACGAAAGACCTATTGAACAGTGACAAAATAGAGACTTGAAATGTTTTTTAACACAACTGTAATTTCAAATCCAAAATGGATTAACTAAGAGGATTCTAAAAAACAAAAAAACAATCTGTAGCTTAAAGAAATGTCTCAGCACATTTGTAGGCCTAAATGATGTTTGTTTGTTTGTTTGTTTTTGAATTTCGCGCAAAGCTACACGAGGGCTATCTGCGCTAGCCGTCCCTAATTTAGCAGTGTAAAACGAGAGGGAAGGCAGCCAGTCATCACCACCCACCGCCAACTCTTGGGCTACTCTTTTGCTAACGAATAGTGGGATTGACCGTCACATTATATCGCCCCCACGGCTGAAAGGGCGAGCATGTTTGGTGGGACGGGGATTCGAACCCGGCCTAATTGAACTTGAAACTGTTATAAGCCAGATAATCTTTGGTGAAACACTGAATGTGGATAACTATCACTGACGTTGAAAGTATGGGAATAGAATTAAGGTTAAGAATAATCCTGGACACATGTGGTAGCGTTATAAAAGTGACAGTTAATACCTTAGCATAGATGGTGTTACTGACTGACTACCATCCCTCTGGTCAGGATGGTGGCAGACAGCTTTAGTAACTTTACCAGAAATACAAAATACATTGAGAATATAATGTATTACGTACAGGAATACATTCTGTATTAACGCAAGCCATATTTACATTAATAAATAGGCCTAGCAGCGAATATAAGTTTCATTTTTTATAAGTATCTTTTACATTGCTAAAGGTTTGACGATTTTCTTAGGGCTACGGCACTATTTTTATACATAAATTGGTTCTTGTTTTTTGCTCACACGTAAATGGACAAACGGGAGATCAAAGAATTTTTCTTTGTTTACAAATGTGATGTGTAACGGTTTTGCTTATCAAATAGCACTTAGTATGAATGGGAACCCTTCAAAGAGCGGATAAACAAATTGATTTGTTTTTATATGTATGTATATATATATATGTATGTGTATGTATACTTTATCGTTGAAATAAAATCACTGAAAGAGTTTCCGAAGCCGATCTATCAAGAAAGCGATATATGCAGTCACGATATTTAAGTGACGTCGTAATACACACATTAATATTATCGTTGATAAAGGGGAACTATTAGTGTTTTATCAAATATTAAAAAAACATAATTTTTATCACCCTCAATTTGATTAGCAGTGCACAATTACCTCGATATGACTGGGATCTTCACGTACGCTGCTGTTTTAACAAAACAATATCTTCGCCTCATTGTTTTAATTCTCATTTCACACTATTTGTCATCTCGAATTACGCTGTAATTAAACACAAACTTCCTGTAACAGCAATGAATATCTAATTTGAGTTTAATTACGATGCCATTGTTACAAATACTCGAGAACTATGCTCAAAAACGTCCTTTTTTTATTTATGTTATGATCATCCCTATAAATCAACTGTTTTCGATCATTAGATTGTCGTATTGAACACGAGGTTTTTTTTTCTACATAAGCACAAAGCTACACAATGGACTATCTGTGCTCTGCCCACCACGGGTATCGATACCCGGTTTCTAGCGTTGTAAGTCCGCAGACATATCGCTGTGCTACTGGGGGGCTTGAACACAAGGGAAATTGTTTGTTTTGAAGAAAAGCCTAATAATTAGACTAATATTTTAAGACAGTCTTAAATGTTTTTAATAACTGAAAAAAAATAAAAACTATAAGTAGAACTTTCGTCCAGCTCTCTATTATAAGCTTGACATGTTTACACTAGCACCCCCTAACTTGATTATTTCAAAACTTTCACATGCATGTTGAAATCTCTAATGTGTTTGGATTCGAGTTGGCTCTCTGCACAACGTGTATTGAAGTTTATACATTCGACTAAAATCACTTCGCTGTTTGTTTCACAATTTTCCCATATCATAAAGTCCGTTTATATTACATTCTGAGATAGTTTGGCGTTGCCGAAAGCGGCAAAGATGATTGACTGTTCCTAGCATTTGTTTCAGTCCCACACGTTTTATACTTAAAGTCGTTAGGTGGATCTTCTTTGGAAATTGACACATTTGTTTGAGTATTCGTAGAAATTGTTCTGAAACACGTGTTTGTCTAGGAAGTTAAAAATGTGATAAGATGATTCTTAGTTTATGTTTACACGTGTGAACCTCGATGATGTTGAAATACAAGCACGTTTTTTTGGTCGGTTTCTTTTTTAAACTGATAACTCCTTGTCTTGTACTTATTAAATGCATTTTTTTTTGCTACGTTTATCTTCAAACACGTGATTAAGCGTTTGCTAAGTTATGTTTAAAGTTATACATTCGAAAATCGTTGCATAATTCATGTTCAAACACTTGCACTTCATAGAACTGACCGTGTGTATATGATATCGTCTTTCCACTTCCCAGTAATTAGCCAATAAACTTTACTCGTGCTTTAAGGCCTCAATCCATTTTATGCTTCAAATTACGTGCACGATTTGTTCCATTGAAGCTGAACTTCAAAACAAATAATTTCATGATGAAAATGATGCTGCTATGTCTTGACTTTTGACTAAATCTTATTGTTTACATCGAAAAAAAACTAAATCTAGCGACTTTTATATGTTCAGTCGTAGGCAAAGATGCTTAAAAATAGATTAGCAAAATAAAATAAAATAATTACGTGGGCTTATTCCTAATAAAATATTATTTAAAATATAAATCAGTTGTAACAAAAATATGAGAAAAATTGCGTGAAGCTGTAATAATTTGATTCAACAGGAGACTTCGGAGGTGTTGATGTATTAATTTATGGATTGTATACAGATTCAATGTATGTAAAGCGTAATGTAGGTCCAGGATATATAAAGTTTATTACAGGTCCAAGATATATAAAGTGTATTACAAGTCCAAGATATATAAAGTGTATTACAAGTCCAAGATATATAAAGTGTATTACAAGTC